AGTTCAGGAGATGGATTTTCAAGGGGCTCCACGATTCGAGTAAATGATTGATGCCTTTCGTGGATTATGTACAACTAATTTGACCGGAATGAGCCCTTTATCTTATGTTTGGTTTATAATGATCTTAATTGTAATACTTCAAAACTTATTACCTATTCCTTGTGTAATAGAAAAGATAATGTCCAATCCATATATATATATATATATATATATATATATATATATATATATATATATATATATATATATATATATATATATATATATATATATATATGGTTGATGGTGTTTGGACGATATGACCTCTTTTCCAATAAAAATGGTTAAAAAAGGTTGACTTTTGATAACTGTTGATGTGGTGAGTATTATTTGGGATTGATGTGGGTGATAATCGAGTTAATATAATTTGATTTAGACTCATATTCCAAAAGAAGTTTCGAGTAGATTTTCGGTGTTGACTTGTAAAAAAATTGAGTTACGAGTTTTCGATGTGATTCCTTTTATGCTTAAATTGCTAAGTTATTATCGATAAATAGTGATAGATGGTTATAGTCTAGTGAGCCTTTTATGATTAGTCTAGTTGGAAGGAATATTTCTTGGTGTGGACGGAATATTCTAACGACATTTTATATCGGGTTGATGTCCATGTGGTTTGATTGTTAATTAGGGCTATGGTCTCCTCATGTGGATTGCATTGTCATGTGTCGAGTCTTGATTAAGATGAATATTTTTTTAATCATTTGTCTACCCCCTTCCCCTCTTGAGGTGTATTTTGGAAGTATTCTGTAATCACATATCGACACGATATGTTGGTTGTCAACTCTTTTGCTTGGGAATCGTATTTGCCCTATTAGATAGATCAACAAGTCTTACTAGGCAACTCATCATATAGCTTCCAACGTTTGTCCCAAGGGAGTGCATCGGACAACTTTTGACGTTCAACTCGAGAAGGACGCATCAGACAACCTCCAAGACTTAGCTCACGAAGGATGTATTAAACCATATTTGATGCTTAGGCCAAAGAGGGTGTATCGGGTAAGCTCGAGGAAAGCATATCGAGCAATTTTTTTATGTTTAGTACAAGAAAGGTGCATCAAGCACATTTTGATGCTTAGTTCGAGAAGATCGCATTGAGTACACTTTGATGTTTAGCTCAAGAAGGGTACATTGGGCATATTTTGATACTTAGCCTGAGATGGACAAATCAAGCACAATTTGATACTTAGTTGTAGAAGGAGACATCAACCTGGAGTATCAGACATATAGGCATTTCAAATACTCTAGGGTCAAGGCAGAATCACGATCATAGAAGCCTTGTATGCAATGAATATCTCTTAGTATCGTCGGATATATCATTATCGGCTTTTTGAGGAGGAGGAAGTTAGGACCCCTCCCAACCGGACAAAACTTTAACTCCCCTAGCCACTAATTGGATGAGAGATTGGGACTCTCATGAGAAGGAGGAAGATATCTTCTTGACATGAGATTGAAATTTTCTAAGCACTTAATATCACCTGATGCATTCTTGAGTTGAGCATCAAAAGTGTACCCGATGCACCCTCCTCAAGTTGAGCATCAAAATATGCCTGATGCGTCCTTCTTGTGCTAAATATCAAAGCTTGATCGATGCAACAAATATGTTTTTCTTGAGCTAAATAACATAGGTTACCAGATACACCCTCCTTAGGCTAAGCATAAACTATTGTCCTTTTCAAATTAAGCATTAAAAGATACATGATACATCATTTTTAGGTTAAGTATTGAAAGTTGTTTGATAAACCCTTCTTGGGTTAAGCATCTAATATTACATGATGTATCCTCCTCGGGTTAAGTATAAGAGGTTGTTCAATTCACTCTATCGGGCTGAGCATAGTGAGACATTGACCTACTTGATGGGCCGATCAAGACTTCTAAGTAAAGAAGCTAATGACCAACATGCCAAATCAATATGTGGTTATACATTTAGAACCCTCTAAGAGAATTCTTGAAACGCACCTTAGACAAATGATGAAAAAATATTCACTCCAATCGGGACTTGACATGTGGCAACCCAATCGATATGAGAAGATCAAGACTCTAGTCAACAACCAAGCCACATAAGCATTGACCCAATATAAAACATCTTTAGAATATTTCGGTCATACCATTGAGTATTCCTTCCAATTAAACCAATCAAAAAAGACCTACTAGATTATAATAATCGAGATCAGTTATTATTTATTCATAATATTTATTTTATTTTATTATTAATTTAAATATCGGAGGGATCATATTAAACTTGCATCGGACCTTGATATTTGTACATGTTGATACCTTATTGAGCACTTAAGGTCCTTCCAAATATATCTTGAAAACTTAAAATGCACATGGTCCAAACCAAATCGGGCTAAACCCTAAACCGATATAAATCATTCGCCAAAATCAACTATTCTCTAAAAGAGATTCGAAGGAAAACTCGGGTAGTTGTATACACTATGCATGACAAGCTTGTGTGGTGGTTCGAGTGGCAAAAGTAACATGGCACATGTGGGCCTTTTGTCTGTCGAAGGGTCACGCACGTGTAGTTAGGAGACGCAAAAGAAACATGACTATCTCCCAACCCACATACCACATGGATAAGCACCAAGCTCAAGCTCTATACTCCTCCACACAGCAAATAGACCACCGTCACCGCCTCATCCAAGCGCGTCGGCGTCGTGGCGGTGGCCCTCGGCCGGTGCCATCCCGCCCTGGCGGTATGTTGGACACCACATTAATTGGAAGTGGACACGAGGGGTGTTCGACGCTTTGTCTCACACACCTACCCGTGGCCTGTCGGACTCTCCTCGACAAGGTCCCGCCACTGGGATTCGCATCTCCGGTAGGTCGGCAGTCTCTTGCCTTAGCCGAACCCCATCCACCGCGTGCAGTGTAGATATTGCTTACTCATGTACAGGTACTCATGCAGAAATCTGGTTGCTACTGGCTCCAAGTCATGGTAGTCCCAAAGGAAGTGGTCAGATCAGCAGGCACATTGTCAACCCTAAAAAAAAGTATTCCCGCCTTGCATTCTACCCATGCAATCTACAGGTGATGGAACTGCACCTGATCTTGTAGGAAATGTAATTAGAACGTTCATGTTTGTGACTGCTCATATGAACAGCTTTTCTTGCCCATCTTATTTGACCATGCTCGTCAGCTTTTGATAAATGACTTTGTTTTCCGTTTGTATATCCTTTTGATAAGTCATGGATCGAGCTACCAATAAGTTGATAAGTATTCCTCCGCAAGTAGTCGAATTGGTTTTGCCAATGTTGAAATTAATGCTGATAAGGAGCTGACAAGCTATTTTGTCCATTGGATTCACAGAAATTAGAGAAGTGTTATCTTTCTTGTAGACTGGTCAGATAAAGACATTGTTCTACTTTTTGCTATGGTACGAAGAATACTGAATATTTCAAACCTTGAATCCTTTTCAGCTCAACTTCATGAGATGGCTATGGCCTCTGAAGATGTTGCTGAACCTGGTGAGTTGCCAACTGTGCTTTGAGGTCTAGAAGTAGCAAAGATATTATCTGCAGACAAATATGATCGTGAATTCTAGAGTGATGCAGTAGACCATGCTGTTGCTATTTCACAAGGTCATATAAACTGCATCTTAGAGCTTAATGTTGCAGAAAAGGACATTTGACTGCAGCCTTACCTATACATCTAGAGAAAAAGATAACAACGCCTAGAGGAGAAAAGAGAGAGATGTATACTGGTGTTTGTTTTCTTATGTGACTTTGGAGGGCCAATTTGGTGTCCGGTTAAAATGTCTTCGGTGGTGTGGACAATTGAAGTGGCAGGAGGCTGTAAAGGTTTCTATCTCAGTTTGCGTCCCTGACCTGCCTCCTTCAACTGAGTTCAAGCTCAAGATGCATGAACAAACTCAAGCAGCCTACACTGACAACAGTCAGTATCTGAGTTACTGTATATGTAAGAAAGGACACACCCCCAAGAAAACTGGAAAAGAGTCTTTGGAAGGATCAAATGCTTGCTCAAAAGGATTCCAAACTGGAAGTGTCTGTACTAACAGGAACGTTGAGTATGTGAAAAAGCTATATGTTTGTAAGAAGGGAAAGACTATTGAGGAGGGACATAGGCGTATTCAGTCTCATAAGATGGTCCCTGCAAGATAATTTGTTCTTTTGTCAGGAGGAAACATAGGATGCTTCTCAGCAGGATTCGGATCAATATTATCTATACCTACACGATTTAAGTGGATTTGACTTTTATGAAAAGCCTAATGACTTTATTGTGTCTAGAATTTATAGAACATGGCGCGATTGCATTTCACCCACCAAATTGCAAGTGTTTTTCTCATGTCACGGCTGAATGGACTCTCATTGGCAGACTTTTGCACCTGACCCAAACCCAATAGTCAAATCTCTTTCATCTGGTGATCTCTGATTGGCGCACCTTCCGGTCGTAGCGAAACATGGAGATTGCTTCCGCGGGCAAGATTGACATGTTGAATGCCGTCTTTGTTCGTAACCTAGGAAGTAGTCTTGGTCACCATAATTTTGGTGGTGTTAGTCGCAGGTGTTCGACGAAAAAGATCCATCGACGTGGAATTCCATCTTCTCGTTAGTGGTTTTTCTTATCCACATCGGATGATGAAGAACAACGAAGCTTCGAAGAAGCTCGTCTTGGTTCATCGTATCTAACAACTCTTAGAACTTTGAACTGTCTTCTATTATCACACAATAGATTAATTACGCATACTTCTTTCAATTTTGACTGCTCGAATTCACGCTTGACTCATTTATCTTTTACCCATCAAGAGGTCTTCGATCTTTGAGCCCACACCGCCTCCTGTCTTGGAACTCTACTCCGTTCGCCGACTCCAATTGCACCGTCATCGTTCATAGCTGCGGTCGCAGACAAAACCATGAGTTCATGTGTCTCCTTGCCTTGATGCTACCAACCGTTGTGGGCCCCGCGGCCACTCCCGACCTTTTCTCTATATATATCGTACATCCCCCTGCCTGCAGAACTCCCCCACTCCGGAGCCTGATATCTTCTCACTCCAAACGGTCCTGTCCCTTCCGAGGGTGTGAGGAGAATACACAGGCGAAATGGCGAGACTTGTGTTCGTTCTCTCGTTCCTTCTCTTCTTGCTATCAGGTGACTCACTCTTCATCTCTGTTGTTGTGCTCTGCTTTCTGTGTCTGTAACATTTGTGCTCTGTTTTTATGGTGCTAATTTGTTTCCCCTGTCGTGAATTCTATTGTGATAAGTGACATTCTGTGCTCTGCTTGCAGGGGCTATGGCTGCAACCTTCACCTTGACAAACAACTGCGAGTACACCGTATGGCCCGGCGTGCTTTCGAGCGCTGGCACGGCCCCGCTGTCCATAACGGGATTCGCGTTGCAGCAGGGCGAGTCGCGCAGCCTCGACGTGCCCGCTGCATGGTCCGGCCGCTTCTGGGGCCGCACCCTCTGCGCCGCCGACGCCAGCGGCAAGTTCAGCTGCGGCACCGGCGACTGCGGGTCCGGCGCGGTGGAGTGCTCCGGCAGCGGTGCTGCCCCCCCCGCCACCCTCGCGGAGTTCACGCTCGACGGCAGCGGTGGGATGGACTTCTACGACGTCAGCCTCGTGGACGGATACAACCTGCCGATGCTGGTGGTGCCGCAGGGCGGCTCCGGCGGTGCCTGCAGCTCCACGGGCTGCCTGGTGGACCTTAATGGGGTCTGCCCGTCGGACCTCAAGGTGGTGCTCCCGACCTCCGAAGGGGGCAGCGAAAGCGTGGCGTGCCGGAGCGCGTGCGAGACCTTCGGGTCGCCGCAGTACTGCTGCAGTGGCGACTACGGGAACCCCAACACCTGCAAGCCGTCTTCCTACTCCCAGTTCTTCAAGAACGCGTGCCCCCGGGCGTACAGCTACGCCTATGACGACGCCACTTCCACTTTTACCTGCGCCTCCGCCAACTACCTCATCACCTTCTGCCCCAGCACCACGAGGTAGTTTAACCGTCTCTTCTCCCTTCATTCGCTCAACTACAGTATGTTGCTGGCTTCAACGTCTCAGATGTTTCATCACTGTAATTTACAGCCAGAAATCGTCGGACTCGAATCCGGAGGCGGCAGGCATTCCGTCGAGCAACAACAGTACCATGATCTACAGCAGCGAGGAAGTCAGCCACGCCACGCCCACGGTGCCGCGCGTGGCCGTCGCCCTTGCCCTCGCCGTTGTCGCCTTGTGTCTCGGCTTTTAGCGCGGCGGCCGCGCCGAGGCCACTGGCGGGCCCAGGGTTCACATGCCCTCTGCCACTTCTGGGACGCCTAAGACTACCACCAATCACATTGTAACGTAACCAGAGCGAGAAGGAGTGGGAGAGACGTTACCGGTGGGGACGCCAAGCTGCCATCCATCTCCCATCGCTCAGTTCCCTCGTCCTCTCCAACGCTCACATAAGATCATGAACAATACTGGATCTCGCCTCATCTTGCTTGCCTCGTGATTGGAGTCGGCGATGAAGACCGGCTCTATCTTTACGCGAGTCTTGAAGCTGACATGCGTCGGAGCTGCTACTGCTTGCCTTCTAATCATCTTCTCAGCGGTTGGGTCATTCTTTGATCTCTCTAGTTAGCTTTTGGGTTATATTTTGGTTTATTTGAGTCGCTTTCCGGGATGGATGGGGACATCCTTACGGTAGGAATTATATGTTTTTCTTTCTTTGTTGCTAAGAACCATTAAAATATATTATTTATTAAGACGTTCACAAACATTTATCTATCTTGTCTTATGTACTCGAGTCGCAAACATTTCACCTCAAGTCCTCAGTCCTGCTTCAACAGATGCTCATGTTCATCTAACTGATCTATTTACTTTGCTGTGTGTGAATCACTAATATAAAAATCTAAAATATTTAAATATTTAAATATAAATTAATAATAAATATATTAATCAGACTGATGATCCTTAATCCAAGTATTTGTCCATGAGAGACTAGATCTCGAATGTTCCACTTGTAATCTAAATTTAATATTATTCCATATGAAAAAGATAAAATTACATCCTCACAAATGCTTCAATTCCTTTATCTGTCTTCAAACATTGCTTCATCTCCTTCAATCAGATCAGCATAAGTAACCTAAGATTATTGGGTCAATTGGTCAAGGCCAGTAGTGTCGTGGCGTAAATTATTCATGGCTCTTCCCTCCCAAGCCGATACGACCATTGAAACGTTCCGACGGCTTACATCATGGTCAAATGACGGTGGAGATCCGAGGCTAATAGCAGCAGAACGCTGTAGATAAGTTGGTGGCGGCTGCGGTCGAGTAGTATTCGTAAGCTTACTGTAACTCTTTGGATTGAAAGGGATGGCATGCCGACTAGGTCCACTATCACATTTGAAGAAAGCGTCGTCGAAAGGAAGGAAAGCGCAGCGACTGTTCTTGGTGCAATGAAGATAAGTGGCCACCTACCTCCCAATACTCCCCCTTGTCGGCTCAACTTCCATGCACCTCGTTGAAGTCAAGTGTGATGTGTGGAAAGCTCTCTTTCTTTTCTTTCTTTCCATGTCTCATCTACCTGTAATCCTTATCCAGGAAGAGACTGAACCCAAGGTGCATGATGAAATGCTGCAATAAAGGACCGCGGCGGAATAGGGAGATGGTTTTCATACGAGGACGATGCTGCATGGCGCACGGTGGGCAGGAATCGACGAAATGGAATCTCCTGTCATCCCGGCAGCTTTACACCGTATCCATGACGAGCCCACGTCGAACATGGCGACTCGAGGGATCAAACACATATGCATGCGCGAGTGATGTTTAAAGTTGATGTGACACAGTACGCGGTAGTGTGCCTTTGATTCGCTATGGTGCGATGCCAATCACACGTTCATTGCTAATTAACTAATGATGGCGCTTGATGAGATGTGACTAGCGATGGCAAGCGAGCTACAGTTCTTTCGATTACACACGTCTAGGTTGGGTGTTGATAGAAGAATGAGTAATTGAATGATTAGCCATATTAAAATCGACAAGCTGAATGGCAGATCTGTAGATTGGTAGTGGAATTTGCTAATATTCGTGTCGATTACTTTCTTGTTGGGGCTTCGGAGAAATAATGTGCTGATGGAGTTGGAGTTCACTAAGACTGTGCGTGCCAGGCTAAATGACGGCCCATTTACTTTGGAAGGTTCGAGAGAAGTTTATTACATAATGGGGGTTTTCGGATTTGGAAATAACTAATTTGCCCCATCAATCAGATGGGTTTACTAATCTTGATGGGTTTAATCAGAGATAAAATATTTTATTCAAATATTATTCGGTAATTATACAAATGCTTAAAAATAGGATACTACATGATAAAAATATAAAAATAAGTAAAAAAATCCAATTAAAACACAATACTATAATGCGTTGGGCCTTAGCCCACGTATTGGCCTCCATCGACAAGTTTAACTCCCAAGCAAGCAACAGAGTTCTCCATCTAAGCACCCCTCTGTGGCTTCCAAATTTCTGCTCCCATTGCCATCTCGCACTGCATCGCATCGCAGCGCCATGGTTCTCGAGGTCAGGCCGATCTGCTTGATCTCTTCTTTTCTGCTTCTAGTTGCGAGATTTCTTTGAACGTGTAGGGTTTTCGCTAACAATTTTGTTGTTCGGTTCTTGCAGGCCACCATGATCTGCATCGACAACTCCGAGTGGATGCGGAATGGGGATTACTCGCCCAGCCGATTCCAAGCCCAAGCCGACGCCATCAATCTCATATGCGGAGCTAAAACTCAGGTGCTCCCGCGTGGAAAATTGATTCTTGAATTGAGGGTTTGATTCTGGGCTTTTTGGGGATTAGGGGTTAAATGCATCTTCTTTTTTGTTTCTGATTGGTTGTGGTGTGACCTGGGAGCTCGGAATGATTGTTTGGACAGTCGAATCCGGAGAACACGGTGGGCGTGTTGACGATGGCGGGCAAAGGGGTCCGTGTGTTGGTGACACCCACGAGCGATCTTGGAAAGATACTGGCTTGCCTGCATGGTAGGGTTTTCCACTGCCAGATCTTTCTTATCCCCTTACTTGGTTTGTACCTTTTTTCATCACCGTGCTTTTGCTGCGCTTATAGTGCAACCTAACCCTTGCTGATTCACATTGTTCTAATGCCTTCATGTCTTCTAAAATCATTCGTAATCACTTTTGGCCGTGATATATGCCTTTAATTTTGAAGCATGTGCCATGCATGACACCAATTTTTTCTGCCAAAACGGAAAGGAGTATATTTACTAAGTTTTTCTTTTCTGTTTCTGGCAGCTATGGTTCTTAGTAATGTGTTTAAGCTTCCTTATCTTGGCTTATATGTGTGACTCTCCCAACTTGAAGTATTGCTGAGAAGATAAACAATGATGAGTGATTGTTTTGTTCAAGGCATTTATAATTCAAGGCCTCGTAGAGGAAGCCCAACATGTTAGATAAGGATCTGGGGTAATTATGCTACAAACAAAGGTGGGAAAAATCTGAACTTCGTATCTGATTTGGATGAAGTAGATACTGAACAAAATAAAGAAGTTCAGCTTGAGGAGGTTGATTTCCATGATATAAAAGTGAAAGTTCCAAGTCGATAGTAGATCTTTTTAACCTCTCGTTTATATTTGTTTAACTTGAGTAATAGTATCAATTTGTTGAATATTTCTGGTTTGTTCCATATAGTTGGTTCATGGAATTGACTCAGGATGTTCCTTATGTTTCTAAATCTAATTTTAGATTTGTACTATAAACATGCATAGCAGAATTGATATTAAGGAAAATTTATTTGTATTGTTGAAAATTTTCTTCCTCATGTGAGAGAATTTCTAAGCCCTCTGGTTGATAGTCATATGCTCAGTATTCTTTATGAAATCTTGAAAAGTTTCATTATATATTGATTTCTTTATCTAGGTTTGGATTTTGGTTGTGAGATGAACCTGACTGCGGGAATTCAGGTTGCACAGTTGGCTCTTAAGCACCGCCAAAATAAGAAGCAGAAACAAAGGATTATAGTTTTTGCTGGAAGGTACCCTCGAGATCATTCTGTTTTATTTCTTCCACCCCTTTGATACTTATACTAGTCCACAAATTTATTAATGCTCCCTTTTGAATATATCAAGTCCAATTACATATGAAAAGAAGACATTGGAGGCAATTGGGAGGAAATTGAAAAAGAATAGTGTTGCTTTGGATGTTGTTGATTTTGGAGAATCTGATGATGGAAAAGCTGAAAAGCTGGAGACCCTTGTAGCTGCTGTAAACAATAATGACAATAGTCACATAGTTCATGTTTCACCTGGTCCAAATGCTCTTTCTGATGTACTTATCAGGTATTGGTGATTATCTTGAAAGCTAATTAGTAATTACAGCCCTCTTTGATCTTTCATTTATCAGCAACTTAGCTTATACATTTGTCTGCAGCACACCAATCTTTTCTGGAGATGGTGAAGGAGGCAGTGGTTTTGCTGCTGCTGCAGCTGCAGCTTCAGCTGGTGGCGTATCTGGATTTGATTTTGGTGTAGATCCTAACCTAGATCCTGAATTGGCCCTAGCATTGAGGATCTCCATGGAAGAGGAAAGAGCAAGACAAGAAGCTGCTGCCAAAAAGGCTGCTGAGGAGGCTTCAAAAGAGGAAAAGGGAGGGGAGCAGGCTTCAAGTTCCCGTGACACAACTATGAGTGAAGCAGTCAACACTTCAGCTGTCATTGCAGATGATAAAAGGCAAAATTTAACGGTCTGTTCTCTTTAATACCACTCTTTAAGTTGTCAACACAAGCTTATCATGCTTGATTTGATACCATTCTTTATCACCACTTCAGCTATTAGAAGGTTTAGAAGGTTGGAGGGAATGATGTAATTTGAGTGTTGATTTGATGATAAACTGTTAATGTTTTTTGTGGCAATTTTTTCCTTTAACATGTTACTCTTGCAGTAGTCATGACTCATAAAAGATGTATGGAATTCTTGGCAACCTGCAGGCTAGTGTAAGAGAAATGATAAAATTTACTCTCAGCATTTACCTTCTCATTACCAAATGGTGCAGCCAAACTTATGACAAGAAGATGACAAGGACTGTAAATTTGATAATATATAGCTTAAATTTAGTTGGCTGCAGTAGCCTTATATTTGTTTGTAAATTTTACTTTCTGTTTCGTTGAATGGGTTTGATATGGATTTTGACTTTACAATGAATGGAGTCTATCGAACAAAATATTTTCGTATATGGTGAATTTTCTGCATATCTTAAACTCTTCTTTTTCACATCTTTGTCATGGCTCATATCTTGAGATTACATAGAAAATAATCTAATTCTGCTTGAATGCTCTTGAGATGTTAACAGGATGTTGAGGCTGCATTGCTAGAGCAAGCTCTTGCAATGTCCATGGATGGTGCTAAGTCCAGTAGCGTGGATATGATTGATGCTGACATGTCAGATGCTACAGCAGAAGATCCTGAACTGGCATATGGTTAGTTTTCCAGTTTCTGTAACCTTTCAGTTAGCATAGAAAAATTATGTATCTATCTTGTGTTTGCTACAGAATATTTTCTGGCTATCACCACTGCCAAATGGCTGTGTATATATGACACTTCATATTCTATATGATCTGCTCTACATGTTGGATCTCATAATCTGCACTATATGACATTTAGGAATATAGTTTCCGAAAGATATAAACTATTACCCCTAAAAGAGTATGCATATTTGGTGAATTTTGTAACATTGATGTGTATATGATCCATCTTTAAGTCTGACCTGATCTCCTATGAAGCTTAGAACAAAAGAGAGAAAGGAAATGAACAACGTGTACCCCTCTGTACAAAAATATATCTGATCCCCTTTGGTATTATGCTTCTAGTTTCACAACTTCAACTTCTTTGGTTGCATTACTTTGCAATATCCTTTAGAGACTAGGACACCATCAAATGCGTTCACAGTTTTATTCACTTCTTTAATAATTGCTTTGCGGACTTACAAATCTTTATCCTATCGCACGCAGCCCTTAAAATGTCTGTTCAGGAAAGTGCAGGAGACTCGTCAACCCATTCTGGGATGAGCAAAGTTCTCGAGGACCAATCATTTGTTTCATCCGTGCTAAATTCGGTAATATTCATTTTTCAGCAAGTATTGATCTTTGTCATAGTTATTCCTACTATATGATAAATAACTTGTTCCTGCAGCTTCCTGGAGTTGACCCTAATGATCCTTCGCTCAAAGATTTCCTGGCATCTTTACAAGACCAATCAGAGGTATGATTTTGAACCATGGAACTCTTCTAGAAGTCTACAGAAAACATTAATTATATGTAGGTTGAGAGGTTGTATCTATGTTATTTGATACAATTCTGTGCCCATTATCTCTGAGTGAATAAGTTGCTTGTTAGTATTTATCTATTTTGCAATTCGTCATATTAATTTTGCTCGTTACTAAGCTGCTGCTTCTTGCTTTTCTTTTTCTTTCATCAAGCAGCCATTGAAGTTTGTAAGTAGTACCATAATTACTTCTGAACGTGTTATGGTTAAAGTGGGTTAGATGGGTCAAAATTATTTGCCCTAATAAATCAAACCCTAAGTTAACGGAACCTTGGGAATCTGTTGATTAGTAAATGATGCATTGATTAATTTGTTTTGCATGACCAATTTTTCCTGCTGATCTGGTTAAGTTAGGATACTTGTGTTTATGTTGTCAACTTCAAGGTTCTTTGTGTGACTCTGATCTGATGCTACTTTCTTTATATTTCAGACCCAGCAGAAGCGAAAGGAAGATTCTCCAGAAAAGGATGGCGATAAATAAATGATTTGTGAAGGCTGCTTGTTCGACAATGGTAAGAGAGGATTTATAGCAAACCTCATCTGAGAGCCGTCCGTACCTTTTTTTATTCATCTCCTAGACCTTCGTGAGATGAACATGACTTGGTTCTTTTCTAGCATTGAGACATCGACACATATTCTGATATAAAAAGGAGATTAAGATGGGTCGTAAAATATTCAAGTATTTCTCTGTCTTTTTCTTTCTCCCGATGCTGATGCTGTGATAAACTGGTTGCTGTTAGTTCTCGTGCTGAACTGAAGATGTTCTGCATTTCGCTTTGGAGCTCAAGTTTGTACCATGTGATGCTGGTAAACAGATGTTAGAGCTAGCCCCAGGATATTTACCAAAGGATAATTTTGGCAACACAACAAAGACAATAAAGCGGAAAGAATAAAGCGACAAGAACAAACAAAACACCATAACACCAGATATACGTGGTTCGGTCAATTGACTTTGACCTACATCCACGGAAGAAAGAGGAGCAAATTACTATTATAAAAGAGGGACACTTACAAATGCCTTAGGAAATGTTCCTAGGCCATAAAACACCTTCAGCTTCCTAAACAAGAAGACTTCAAACCATAAGCAGGTTTTCTTGTGATGCCTGCTGTACTTCTTGTGGTGTCTGTAGTACTTCTCGTGGTGTGTCTAACATCAAAGCTCAGGCCTTTATTTATAGTTTCAAGACGAGACAACAAGTCTGATTTTCCCGATGTGGGACTATGGGACTTGCCAAACTAACAAATCTCCACCTTGGCATGTCCCAACAAAACTTGCTCCACCTTCTTCACAAAAGCCCCAACGGGCAATCACCAACAATGAACACCAACCAAGTCCAAGCACTGCTTGAACTTGTAAATCGGAACATGCTTCGTAAGCATATCAACTGGATTGTCCTTCGTATAAATTTTCTGAACACAGACCTTTCCC